TTATCATTTTTTTTTTTTTTTTGTGGCAGCACGTTCGTTGTGAATGGGCACGAAATGGAAAAAAAAGTAGAACCCCTTTGTTAATTCATCATTTTTTTTCCTCTTTTGTTATATACCTTCTACTGATCCAGTGAAAGGTGGAACGGAGGCCTAGCGGTGATTCTCGGAGATTTTCGTTGAGACAGACTCTTAGGCGTGAAGATCAGCAACAGCAATAGGTTTTGTAGGGGCACACGACTTGCGTAAATGACAGCTTGTTGCACTCCGTTGCAGAAGCAGGACTAGGCGAGCTCGAGGTGCAGCGCTTTGGGAAGGCGGGAGCATCTTTCACTCAACGCGTTTCAGCTGCTGTGCTGCGGGTGATTTAAGGTCAAGAAAGAAAAAAGTCTCTGTTTTTGCTATCCACAAGTTCGCAATGTGCGGCCTAGGCAATCGAGATGCCTGTAGATAAGCGGAATGGACTGACAATCCTGTGCGCGGGGGGTACGTTAAGGAAGCCACTGTTACTTGTTAACTTTCCTATGCCTCTACCGTCTCTTGTCAGCATATGTAGTGCCCGCTTCTGCTTCTATTCCGGCACCACTGAACACTCGTTTGTGCTTTTGCTTGGACGGGGTGCATTCCTTGTTTGCCAACCCTTTTTTTGTTACGAGTCTGCGTTACTGCAAGGAGCCTCTCCTGCGCGCACAAACGTAAGTGCTTCCTTCTTCACCCACATCTACTGCCGCAGTTAACTACCAGCAAGCAAAAGTAACGGAATGGAGCCTCATCCGTGCGCTCTACCTACGCTGCCGGCGACACCAAGGTCGCCTCTTCGGCGCGCTTCACCTCCTCCATCTCTATACGGCTCCACAACAACACGAGCCCCTCATCCGCCTGCGTCCCCCAGCGCTTTCAGTGGTGCGAACAATTCCTTCATCGCCTCCCTTCCGCTGTCACCTCCCGAGCTGCTTGGATGCACCGCCTCGCGGAAGATGTCGAGCGCGGTCGAGACAGATACTTCACTGGCCGCCCTCGCCACCTCACCGTCCATGAAGCCGCCGCTGCAGCATTACCAACACTTCATGCAGAAGTCACCATCGACTCGTATGTCTGTAGTACGTGCCTCCGCTGGCCTGCGCAGCGTGTTCGCCGGCATCTCTGGTCGGAGCGCTTCCGTCCTAGGTGACTCCGTTCACACTCCGGTCACGTCTCTCACGTCGGGTGGCTTCATCATGGCCGTCCCCAAAGACGCGTCGCGTCTACTGCTTCATCCCCTCGACGCACAGCGGCATCAGCAGCGCACCTTCTCCATGAATGAGCGAGACCGGCAACTGGAGGAACTAGATAAGCAAGGGCGCGTGAAGATGCTGCGAGAGCAGCAGGAGCGACGGCTGGCGTGGGCTCAGGTGAGTGTGGCGGCAGCGGAAGACATGCAGGCGGTCTGGGAGTCTGTCGCCATCGTTGTGCGCGACCGTCAAACTTCGCTGCAGCCCGACGGATACCAGACTTTCTCCTTCCCTGATGGTGCCGCTGTGTACGAGGGGAACTGGAAGAACTGTCACCCTCACGGGAAGGGCTGCTTGCGACGTTCGAAGCCGCTGAATGACGTGTACGAGGGCCAGTGGTTTGCCGGGCAGCGGTGTGGCACCGGCACGTACCACAACGGTGAGTTTCAGATTCTCTATCAGGGTTCATGGCTGGATGACAAGGTGCACGGTAAAGGCGAACTGATGGAGCCGGAGGGGGTCTACACGGGTGAGTTTGTGGAGAATATGGTGCACGGCTATGGGGAGTATGTCTACAACGACGGCCACGTGTACAAGGGCGACTGGGTCCGCGGCCTCTACGAGGGCAACGGCGTATACCTCTACCCCTGTGGCACAAAGTACGAGGGCGGCTGGCTGCGCGGCTGTGAGCACGGTCGCGGCACGAAATGGTTCAGCAATGGCGACGTTTACATTGGGGAGTGGATGCATGGGATGCCGCACGGCAACGGCACGCTGACCAGCACTTGCAGCACGGCGACCCGTGTGAGCGGGCAGTGGCGGTACGGATCGCTACACGGGCAGGCCACCTGCACCTTCGCGAATGGCAGCTACTACACCGGAGAATGGCAGCGGGGCCGCTTCCACGGTCAGGGCACGTACGAAGCCCCATGCGCCAACGGCGAGGTGCAGCGCTACACGGGTGCCTTTGTGAACGGCAAGCGACACGGCTACGGCGAGTACGTGTCCTCTACAGTTTCTTATGCTGGACAGTGGGTTCAGGATAAGAAAGAGGGCGAGGGCTCGCTGCAAGTGCGTGGTGGTGGCACGTACACTGGACTGTGGAAGATGGATGTGCCGGACGGGGAGGGCGTCTACGTGTCGACGTACTGCAAAGGGTGCCACGATGATGTACACTGTGAAGCAGTGGAGGGTAATTTCAGTGCCTGTGTGAATCAGGATCAACAGCAGCGAGTGGATTTGAGGTTGCTGGGCCGCTCATAGTGGTTGCACCTGTGTCTTGAGGGGCCCCTCCTTCGGCTTGTACTGCCTTCACTTGGAAATTCCGTTTTGTCCCTTTTTAGTTGCCCCTCTGAAATGTTTGATGTACATGATATCTATTTTCCAGTTGTATATATATATTTTTTTTCACCTCGGTCCCTACGTCCTGCTAATTGGCTTCTCAAGCTTGTACCTGCTATACGGGCAGCACTAGGTATCAGAAACGGAAGTACGAAAGTCAAGTGCAGGTGATTCACGCTTACGGGTATTGGATCAGCGGGGAAGCGGCAGCTTGCTGCCCACATCCGCAGATAAAGTAGTGCGTGCGTGAAGGAAAAGTGGGCAAGGATAGCGCGAAGATGTGTAGCTGCTTCATCAGTTTTGGCATATTGGGGAAAGTCAGTGCAGCTGCATGTTGCTTTTTTTTTTTTCTAATTGGCTCCCTTTCTTGTGTTAACGTGTGCGACTGTCGCATCACCTACATCTTTGACAAACACTACTTGGCAGCACTTCCCCGCTCGTATCTCCCACGCTTTAACCCCGAACGGCTTCAAAAACCGTGAATTCAAACTTAAAAAAAAATTGTTTCGAGGAGCAATCGAAGCAGAGAAACACACCATATAGTGGTGGATCCATGGACTCCACTTTTCCCATTGAGCTGCAGTCCCAGCAGGAAGACACCGCTGCTGCAAACAACAGCACGGGCAGCAGTGGGTGTTCCAACGGCTTCTCCAACGCCGTTGTGCCTGTGTCGGTGGTGTCGAGTGTGAGCGAATTCCAGGCGGTCTTTCGTAGCTGCCCTAACACCAGCCAAGCATGCGACCGGAGCGACGCCTTTCTCCTATGTTACGAGCAACCGGCGGACAAGGTGAGTTCCGATGGACTCTTTAGCTT